TGAGAATGTCAACATTTATTATAGAAAGCAGAACTTTGTCTATCTTGACCATGTAGATACTCTCATTAGTGCCTGATACAGAGTTGATGCAAAATAAGTATTTGCTGAATAAGTAAATGGGTGCACTAATGAATTGGGGCGTGACTAGAGAATTGGACCTATGTGTGTGTTCCACAATAGACGGATGGCAAGTTATAAAATTTACAGAAGTTCCGATTCTCTGGAAAACGTTTGTATAATGGCAGAGAGGAAGAACTGATGCTAGAAAAACAAGAGCCAAATCCTGGAGTTCTGTTTCTGTAATGTCATGGTGTGGAGTGTCTGAAATCTCTTTTCTGGTCAATGGATAGCTACTGGAGATTTTTGAATAGTCAATGTGTGCTTTAGCAATGCCTCCTTTATTACCAGTTATGGAAAACTCCTCCTGTGTCAGAAGAGCCTCGTTCATGCACAGGTTCAAGGACAGTGTAACTTCTGAATGTCAGCAGGCTGTTGATTTAGTCAATGTTCATTTCTTTTTCCATATAGCATGACTGCCACGTGGTCATGCTTCTGGGCTGGCAAAAGGAAATGTTTGCTTTAGTTCTTGACAGCTTAAGATGAAATGACCCAAGGCTTCTTGAAGACATTTTTACCAGTATTTCTCACATTTCAGTGGCCTCCCTTAAAAAGTCAATACCATCTTCATGTCAGACTATTCCCCTTTCCTCAATTGTTCTTTATTTCACAATTTATTTTTCTAATGCATAGTTGCCCTCATATTAGAGTTACTCGCTCTTGTGGTTTGTTTTAATTAGGTCTTAAAGGAAGTCCAGTTTAGAGCCTTTAAATGCTGTGTGTTCTTGGTTTGTTTCACTGGAGGAGTGGGTAGGTCCTTCCTTAGCTGAAGCCTGCTACTGACAAAGCCTTGTAGCCTCTATCCAATCATATGACATTATATGTACCATGCACATGTTTATGTGGGCTTTTCTTACCACTTTGGATGTGTGTATTTAATTTCTAAAATGGAAGACAGAGATATCAAGCTTCCTGTTAAAACAGTGGTTTATTTTATAGATGCTGGCAGCAAATTCTAGTTTCCTAAACTGGTTCACAATAATTTAAAAGCCAGGACCAGTTTTTAAAAGCCATGAAATTTTATGGTTCAGCCTGAAGTCATGGAATCTTTTTTATAGATTTTAGTGTGTTCAATTCTGGACTATAAAGGAGGAAGGCACCACATAAGTAAAACATCAACTTTGAGAAAAGGACCCAGTTTGTCAACATTGACTGTTTTCAAGAGCTACTGAATCACATTCATTGTGATAACCACATTGGAAGCTCTCAATATGAATGATGATTTCAGAGAAGTTTTTATTAAACATACAAACTTTTAGTACCTTATAGCAGGGGTCCGCAATCCCTGGGCCATGGTCCAATACCAGGCCTGTTAGGAATGGGCCTGCACAGCAGGAGGTGAGCCTTACCACCTGAGCTCCACCTCCTGTCAGATCAGTGGAGGTCTTAGGTTCTCACAAAGGCGCCAAACCTATTTTGAAGTGTGCATGTGAGGGATCTAGGTTGCATGCTCCTTATGAGAATCTTGCCTGATGATCTGAGGTGGAACACTTTAATCCTGAAACTATCCCGGTGCCCCATCCATAGAAAAATTGTCTTCCACGAAACTGGACCCTGGTGCCAATAAGGTTGGGGACCGCTACCTTACAATTTATGACGCATACTTACATGTAATAGACCTAACTTATGTATAAAAGATTTACTTCTTACAAGTTTTTTTTCTCATTTCTAAGACATATCATAGATATAATCTATGTGTAAAGTAGGTAAAAAATAAAAAGATTAATAAATCATGTGATCCATAATCACATAAAGCTCTAATGAGAGAAGCAAATATACTAATACATATATAAAGTACAGAATGATAAGCACCAATAGAGGAACAGGGTTGAGATTATCCTGTGGTGCCTAACTGTGCTTACCTGGATGGGAAAGGGTCTCTTAGAGAAGGCAGGATTTAAGTTTGGCCTTATAGGACATGACATATTTCAGTAAGAAAAGACAGAGGAACAAAGGTTCTCTAAGTCAGTGGAATACCTTGAGCCAAAACATAAAAGTAGGAAAATTAAGAACATAAATATTTATTTGTGTTCTGTCAACTTTAATGTCTAGTGCTATAGAATCTGAGTATGTTAGTACTAACCTGTTTAAATTATCCTCTTAAATTATATGTTCATGAGAGCTAAACTCTACTTTTTGTTAATGGGAGCATATTCACATCCTTGAAACAAATCATTTATAAATTGTATGCTATTTTTTTTCTAGTGCTCTAGTGACTACTGAACACATTCATGTATATTTTGTAGTTGAATCCTTCCAAAATCTTACATAGTAAATGATGGTATGTAGTTGTTTTGAGCATTTTTTCTTTAGGAAAAGTTAAAGTACCAATGTTTAAACAACTTTTTCCAGGTTTACATGGCCAATAAATGCAAACTCACACACAATTTCGAACCTATTCTTTATCCCTATATAGTTATTACTATGTAGATGCATACAATTTGTATTTATCTATATTGATGTGTAAGAAATTGAGAAAATTAAAGTTGAGAAAGATGAAATCCAAAATTAGTGATTTTGACAATCAAAATAATCCTGGGTGTGTAGAATTGAGAACAAGGGTAAAAGTGGAAGGAAGAGCTCATTTCAAGCAAGGTATAATGGAAAGGAAAGTCAGTAGCTGAGAATATGCAAATTACATTTAAAAAGAGAAGGCTTTACTATTATTGGATGAAGTTAAGGATGTCAGGTCTTAAAACAGGGCAGTTTATGTTTCGTGTTAAGAGTTGATTCTTTATATTTCACAAGACTGCAGTGATGGGGACTTGTGAGTCTACTACTTTTACTTTTTATTAATTGCGTGGCAAAATTGTCAAAGGCAGATGCAGTTGAATCTTTTATGCTATTCTGTGATTTTACATTGTTCAATATGATTAGTTTTCATTTCTTCAAACTTTAAAATGGATTGAGCATGTTTTGGATTCCACCATGAAGAAGACAACTAATGTGAAGTTTTATTTTTCTGATGTGATGTAAATGGATCTGTCTGTTGAAATTCCCCATACTAAAGCATATGTAAATATGTGAGGTGGGCAGATCATGAGGTCAGGAGATCAATACCATCCTGGCCAACATGGTGAAACCGCATCTCTACTACAAATACAGAAATTAGCCAACTGTGGTGATGTGCACCTGTAATCCCAGTTACTCGGGAGTCTGAGGCAGCAGAGTGGCTTGAACCCAGGAGGCAGAGATTGCAGTGAATGGAGATCATGACATAGCATTCCAGCCTGGGGGAAAGAGCGAGACTCCATCTCAAAAAAAAAAAAAAAAAGTGTTAAAAGGGGTAAATTAAATCCATTTTATTAAAAATGTATCATTGATTATTATATGAAGATCATTGTATTAGGTGGTTTAGGAGACAGTTTGCAGTTTCTGTGTAGTAGTTGTTAAAAATTCCTTTTTATTAGTGAGAATCAAATATTAATGAGAATCAAAGTTGTAAGTTTGGAATCAACTATCTCAAAGCTGTGTGGTAGAGGATTTTATGTGTGTACTTAGCATCTTTTATGCATTGAAATAATTTACCATTAAGTTTTGTCTTTTTTTAATTGACCCATAATAAGTATACATAATTATGGGTACAGTGTGATGTTTCCATATGTGTATTTATTGTATGATTATTAAATCAGAATAATCAGCAAATCTGTCTCTTATAACATTTATCATTTATTTGGGTGAAATCATTAAAAATACTTTCTTCTAGCTATTCTGAAATATATAATATATAATTGTTAACTATTGTCATCCTACTCTGCAATAGAACATCAGAAATTATTCTTCTTAATTAACTGTAACTTTGTAGTCTTTGACCAACCTCTTCCCATCTCTCCCTTTCCTATGTTTCCCAGCTTTGGTAATCACCATTCTACTCTCTACTTCTATTTGATCAGCTGTTTCAGATTCCATGTAAGAGTGAGATCATGTGGTATTCGTCCTTCTGGCTTATGTCACTTAGCATAATATCTGGCTTATTTCACTTAACATAATACCCTCCAGGTTCGTCCATGTTGTTACAAATGATGGGGTTTCATTAATTTTTATGGATGAATAATATTTCCACTGTGTATATGTACCACATTTTCTTTATCCGTTCATCTGTTGGTGGGCACTTAGCTTGATTTCATGTCATGGCTATTGTGAATAGTGCTACAATAAATGTGGAAATACAGATATGGCTTCAACATACTGACTTCATTTCCTATACCTAGCAGTGAGATTGCTGGCCCATGTGGTAGTTCTATTTTTAATTTTTTGAGGAAACTTCATACTGTTGTTCATAATGATCTTGCTAATTTACATTCCTACCAACAATGTGTAAGAGTCCCCTTTTCTCCACTTCCTTGCCAACACTTGTAATCTTTTATATTTTAGTTAATAACCATTCTAACTGGAATGAAGTTATATGTCATTGTGGGTTTGACTTGCATTTCCCTGGTGATTAGTGATGTGGAGCATTTTTTCACATACCTGTTGTCCAATTGTATACCTTCTTTTGAGGAATGTCATTTCAGATCTTGTGCCCATTTTAAAATCTTTTTTTCTTACTATTGAGTTTTTGAGCTTCTTATATATCTTATGTATCCTAGATATCAACCCTCTTTGGATATGTCTATATAGTTTACAAATATTTTCTCCCATTCCATAGGTTGTATCTCCACCAGCTGATTGCTTTCTTTGCTGTGCAGAAGTTTTTAAATTTGATGTAATATCATTTGCCTGTTTTTATTTTTATTGCCTAATAAAAAAAGAAAAAGAAAAAAAAAAAAATACCCAGGCTGCTGGTTTCACTCTTAAACTGTGGGATTTTGGGTTGATCTTTGTATTTCTCTGAGTGTGATTTAGAAATATTTGCCTTCATTTGGTCATTTTTTTCACTTTAGCTTAACCAGCTCGAAAAAGCAGTGGAAGCAGCTCACACATTTTTCGTGGCTAACCCTGAGCACATGGAAATGCAGCAGAACATTGAGAATTACAGAGCAATGGCTGGTGTTGAAGCATTGCAATTGGTAGACAGAGAAGCCAAACTACACATGGTAAGCTCTGTGGACCCCTGCCCTCACCAGAGGGAGCTAAGTGCTCCTAAGTTTCATTTGAGTCAAAGCAAATTTATACGAATGAATATTTCAAATTTTAGTAACATTTTTAGACTTTCTGGGTTCTCAGGATACAATGATCAGGCCTGAAACAATTGAGATTTTAAAAAAAATTTTAATTAAAATTTTAAAAGTTGCAATAAAAAAAAACTAAAACATTAAATTTTTTTCTCTTAAAAATTAAGAGAAAATAAAAATTAACTTAGAAAATCAGTGTAATATGTTAAAAACTAGAACGTCATATAATTATCTATAATCCTCTCTGAACCTTTCCAGTACTTTTATTTTATACCTAGAGGTGAGGCCAGTGTGAATTGTTCAGGATTACACTATGATTTTCCAGCTCCCAGTCCAGTGGTTTGCCCATTGTACCTATACTTTTCAAACTGGGGTTTATAAAGCGATGTAATTCTTTGTGTAGACTAAACATTACTTGAAATCACATGTTGAAAGTGTTTTTTTTTTTTTTTTCAATTTTTGATATCGCCATTCTCAACATGTAGACTCCAAAATTATTGCAGAAAAAAATAAGGGAAGATTTTAGAGACTATTAAAACACACACACACACACACACACACACACACACACACACACAGGCAACACCTAAAAGTGGATGACACTTCCACCCACATCTATTTACCTGAACTTATTCCGTGGTCCTACCTATAGGCAAATGAATTCAAAAATACAGTCTTGCATGTACTAAGAAAGAAAATGAAATTGATCCCATAGCAGTCTATTTGCTCAGTAAGATCCCTCTCACTTACAAGTATTTGAAACCAGGAATGTTGTTCTTTATCTCCCAGTGCAACCCTTTGCTAAAGGTAAACCCTCCGCAGCACAAGCATCCAGTACCTCCACCTACCTAAATGATCCTCAGTCAGCCTAGACACTTGTATTTGAAAGTAAGAGTTTTTGTTTTGTTGTCTATTTCATTGCAGGAGAGTTACAATGCAGGAGTTAAACATTATGAGGCTGATGACTTTGAGATGGCTATCAAGCACTTTGAACAAGCCTTAAGAGAATATTTCATTGAAGATACAGAATGCCGAACCCTATGTGAGGGGCCTCAGAGATTTGAAGAATATGAGTACTTAGGGTATAAGGCTGGTCTGTATGAAGCTATTGCAGGTAAAGCTTAGGTTTTCATTTTATTTGTTTCTTGATTATAAAAATACTACTTGCAATTTGTGAAAAACTATTCCAGCAATATAGAAGAATATATTGTAAAACATAAAAGACTCTCATGTATCTATCACATCTTATCTCCTGTAGAGAAATGTATGCAGTTAAAATTTTAATGACTCTCCTCCCAAACTTTTTCAGATGCTTATCTATTTATGTATTTATGTATAGTTATTATTTCATATTTTATAAAATAGGACAAGACTCTATATATATTGTTTTTCAACTTTTGTTGTTTTATTTTATGCTTAACAATATATTGTGGACTTCTTCTCACGTAAGTATGCAGAGCCACCTTATTGTATTTAATGGCTGGATAATGCTCTGTTATATAAATACATCATAATTTAATTGACTAGTCCTTTACTGACAAGTATTAGAGATGGAAATTTTACATTATTATAAACAATGTAGCGTGAACACTTCTGTATTGTCTTCAACTACTTATAAAAATGTTTTATTATGTAATAAGAATTTAATATATGACAAAGTGGCACTTAAAATAGTAGGTAACACACATTATAGAATAATTTGGGAGACTGGCTAGTTAACCGCTTATGATGGGAAAGTGGGTTCTCTCCTATATACCTTACACAAAAATAAGTTTGTAACAACAATATTAGTGTAAAATATAAAACTGTTATAAGAAAGTGAGGGAAAATGTTTCTATAATATTAGGAGAAGAAAAGCTCTTCAAAGCATGACAAAAGACAAGAAAAATAAAGAACAAGGTAAACTTTACCTAAGATTTATAAATATAAATTTGTACAATAAACCAAGCTGATCTACAAATCACACATAGAAAGTATTGCAAAATATTTTATAGGCAAAGTGTTAATATCTTTCATATTTAAAGAGAGTGAATTCATCAAAATGAATTTTTCAATTCATCAAAAAATTCAAAGAATTTTAATTCATAATTCAAAAAAAGTAAATTATTACTGTTCATGGGATTTACTTATTAACAGTAGTAATAATAACCAATACATATGTAGCAGTTGTAACATACAAAGCACTTCACATATTTTTATCTCTTTTTAATGCTTTAGGCAACTCTTTTTTTTTTTTTTTTTTTTTTTTTTTTTGTTTTGAGACGGAGTTTCACTCATGTTACCCAGGCTGGAGTGCAATGGCGCGATCTCGGCTCACCGCAACCTCCGCCTCCTGGGTTCAGGCAATTCTCCTGCCTCAACCTCCTGAGTAGCTGGGATTACAGGCACGCACCACCATGCCCAGCTGATTTTTTGTATTTTTAGTGGAGACGGGGGTTTCACCACGTTGACCAGGATGGTCTCGATCTCTTGGCCTGGTGATCCACCCGCCTCGGCCTCCCAAAGTGCTGGGATTACAGGCTTGAGCCACCGCGCCCGGCCAGGCAACTCTTATAGATACTATTGTTACTTACTCTCCTCACCCTTTTGTAGATGAGAAATTTTTATCTGAAAAAGATTAGTGACATGATTAGAGTGAAGCTGGAATTCATATTTGGACTTTTCTGACTCTAGAATCTATGTTTTTAAAATCTACATAATTGAAAAGTAGGCAAAGGATGTTTATTCAATAATAAATTTCTCACAAATATTTTTTGAGGACACATTTCTTCTTCCTGAGTTACCCATATATGAAAAGCAATGTTCAACTTCATTTACTTACTAAAATGATAGTTAATTAAATCAGTTTGCTCTCCCCAACTTCCAATGCTTTTGGTCTTCCGAAAAAGCACTTCTCACCTAATAGCTCAAACCAAATTCCAAGAAGTTTTCTTTCAATCCGACATCTTCCTTAGTTCCTATTCCCAATTACCAAACGTGGATAGATGCTACCTCCTAATTGCACTTAACACTTCCTAACTTCTCCAATCCTTTCTACGACCCTGGCTCAAGGCAACTGTGACTAGCTCCTTGCCGCTCTTCATATCCTGTTCTGGTTTTGCTCTGGTTGCAGACTGAGCAGTCTCTAAAAAACAAAATTCTGCTCACAGACCTGGTTTAAACACCCCAATGGCTTATAAAACCTAATTCTTTGATAAGAACTTTCATGATTGGGCCCTTGTGTATGTTTTCATCCATTTCATTCATTTCATTCTCTCCCTGTCACACTCTCTCTTTGATTCCTTAAATATGCCATGCATATTTCTATTTGCAGATTTTCAAAATGTTGTTTTCTTCTATCTCTTGGCTAAAGCTTTGTCGTGTTTAGTGCTTAATCTTCAGGGCCTAAGAAGAGTGACTGGCAAATAGTAGATACTTAGTAAATAAATACTGGTTAAATGAATGGGTTGATGGATGAATGAGATGACATGTTCATCAATAGCATAGCAGGGATCAAAAGGGTTAAATACTCCATGTTGATGAGAATGAAGGTCATAAATTGTTAAGGTTTCTTATAGAGACAATTGGGGTGTAGCTATCAAAATTTAGACTAGGAAGTAGAATGAAAATTAATACGTCAAATGACCGATTTGTGACATACACAGTTACCCGAAATCAACTCAGTTCATCTAAATTCAATACAACAATCTCAATTATAGAGGATATTTTCTTGAAAGTTTTGGTTTTTTGGATCCCTGCAAGATCCAGTGGCCTAAATTTTTGAAATGTCAGTTTTATGTGTGGTTCACATTTTAATTGCTGTTTCCCTACACTTGATCTTTTATTTGAGAACGGCAGATTCTTCCTTCATTATAGCTATGTTGTGGTTGTGGGGGGTACGCATCCTGCTTCGCCCCCACATTGGCCTCTGCACCTGCTTCCACCAATGGCCAGTGAACAGTTTTGACTCATGTCCTAGGTCTGGTTTAGGAAAATTGACTGATGGTTTCCCACAGATGAGCATTTAGTGATTTGCTGAAGGTCACCACAGCATGTTGGATACTGGAAAAGAGTAGAGATCTCATAATCCAGGTTCTTTAATTTTTAAGACTCAAACTTATTAAAAACATATTAATTGCACAATGTCTTTTAAGATAGAAAGGAGGCAAGGGATGCACCTAATAAAGGTAATATGACAGCTCTCGCTATGTAAATTGTTGTCCGGTTCAAAATTGTCCTAAATTAGGAATGACACTGGGTTTTTAAATAGCAAATATATTAAAATGTCAGAATATTTGAATTTTAGAGTTAGACATTAACAGTTGGGGAAAAGTACAAATGGCTTCCGAATGCAGTTTTTTATTACTAGCCCTGCTATGAAACCTAAAGGCTTTCTGTCACTCTTATTTTGCTGCTATTTATATTTGCTTTGAAAAATATTTTCATTCGGATTTTGAGTTCTCTATGGGTGTCTTTTGCCTTTACCTTTTGCTTGTCACTTGGGATTAAATGGAGTGTGTATTAGAAGGTAAATAGAAATGCAAATGGTAGGAGAAAACAGTTGAAGGTTGTTTTTGTTTTCTTAAGAAGTAAAACAGCTAGTTATTTATTTCTAACATGCTAATCAAATAAATAGAACTCGTTCTTCCTTCACATCCCCTGACTGGGGTTAATAACCAATGGGCTTTAGGGATCCTGTTAACTGTGCTGTAAATGATTCAGTTAGCCAAGTTATGCAAAACTGGCACATTTTCCCCCACACCAGAAAATGCACATTTCCTTCCTGTTGTGTTTTGGGGTCCCTCTGCAAAATCATCAAGATCCAAGCCAAACGCAGACTAAATAGAGAACCTTTTTTTAAAAAAAGAGGCAGTTGCGATAAATTAAATAGTGCAGCTATGAGATCAAATGATTTTATTATCATCCTCAAAAGAACCCACTCAGCACAGCATGAATGAACCATTCTTCCTGGAAAAGTCCATCATCTTCTTTGTAAAAATCAGTCGAGGTAAAAGGCAGGAGGCGTTTTCTTCTCGGGGACATTCACCACTTGTGTTTCCTCACCTCAGGTTTTAATAAGATAGAGTCCAGAGCCAAAGGGGGCATGAAAACCCCAACAGTTCAGGACTCTCAAGCAAGAAGAACGGGAACAATAGAAAGGAGACAGAAGAGAAAGAGGAAATAAAATGCTCCTTTAAATTTCTTTAGTTTTCATCCTTCTTCTTGTTTTACCAGACTCTGGTAAAGAATATACAATGTTCTTAGTATTAGAATATACAATGTCTAGGGGATAGACTAATTTATAACTGGGCAGAATAGGTTTCTGACCAATAGGTGTAAAAAAAAGAGTTTTTATTTGTCCTTTAGGACAATTTGGATTGAAAATGTTAACAAAGAAAAAGAGCATTTTTGCATCACTTCTCAGTCTGAATTTTTCACGTCCATCGTGGTTTCTTTTTCTGAACTGTTCCTTAACATTTACTAACATCTGAACTTGCATTCCTGATTCCAGGGCACTTCAAGCCATCTAAGCTATCTAAAGAGAGGCCCCAAAGTTGTTAAATATGAAACTGACATTCAGCTGGGGTGTAGGTGGTGTCAAGTGGACTGTGGGGTATTAAAAGTGTATATGGGGAGGGAAGAGTGAGGTATAGAGAACAGATTGTGAGCTAGAGGATTTGGAATCTCCTGCCGTTCTAGTGATCACCGACCAGGAGACCTTGGCAATCACCTACTTTTTCTGTAGAAAGGTTCTACAGTGAGGAAGTGAGGATTAGAATGATTTTGCTCTCAGAGTGTGGTGAGGCGAGGAATGCCCTGTGTCACTGTGGCTGTGACGTTGACGTTTGGGCACTCAGTAGACTGAAGGGACACATGTATTGACTCTTGTCTTCCAGATCACTACATGCAGGTGCTTGTCTGTCAGCATGAATGTGTGAGGGAGGTTGCCACCCGCCCTGGCCGCCTCTCACCCATTGAGAACTTTCTTCCTCTGCACTATGATTACCTACAATTTGCCTACTATCGAGGTAAAGCGTGGATCATCCATGAATACTTCTCGGGGGGTTGTGGTTCATCATTACAGTCATCACATTTTTGTAATTTAGTGCTCTGCCTTCTTCAGTTTATTATCAAAGCAATGGGAATTTATGCATTTCTTCCCTCCTGAGCTGCAGAACAAGAAGAGCAGAAGGGGAAATCACCAATGAGCAAAGTACAAAATTTAATGCTGTGATAATTTACTGAAAATTATACTAGAATGACATCTGGCATGATTTTTTAGACTTGATTTTTAAACTCAGTTTAAAAGGTATTTTGCAAAATCTTGTTCCCCAGAACAAAACATTATTTATTAACCTGGTGTTGATGGCACAGAATGAATCACATGCTCAAGTCATAAACAGTGAATCAAAGGAGTTGAGAGTTGCTTAATTTTTATCATTCTTTTTAAAAATCAGAGTCATCTCAGAGTATATATAATATGTATGCATATGTATTTGTACATACATACATACACGCACACATATATATACATACACACATACATGTATTGTAAATCTCCATTAGAAGTCCAGTGTTGTGACTTATTTGAAAGCAAAGCATACAGACTTTTAAAATTTCTCTTGTAATAACTAAATATTTCTATAATGAAAAGCTTATATTTGAAACATCCTTGTTAGTTCCTTTTAGTAGTTTGCTGCTGTTGGATTTACCATAATTGTATAGTGAGGGATTTGAGGGGCTTCCTTCAGAGCATCTGGGACTTTATGAAGAACTTTGCATTAAACCACCAGTTTACCACAAACTGCAGCAATGAAAAATAACATTTTAAAAGCACTTATATTACTCATACATTATGTACAAAATGGTACATTACTGTTGCAAAGGCCATCTTCAGGATGTTTACTTAATCCAAACTCAGTATAAAAATCAGAATTAACTCATACAATTCTGCTGTTTATCTGTGTTGAATAATAAAAGTTGTCAACCTCTTCAGGTAGAATTTTGATAATTTGCACAAAACAACTAGCACCGAAGCAGAGCAAAGGCAGTAACTTTTGAATACCTGAAATCATGTCCTTCCTTTTATCTGTGACTGCTTCTGCTTTCTCTGCTCAGCCTCAATTTATCTTCCCTCTGATTAATGTTTAATGCTGACCTCTGTAGACATGTTGATGATCTCCCTTTAAAATTCTTTGGACAGACCTAGGCTGACGCTAATGCTGCAGCTCCTTTGTCTTTCAGTTGGTGAATATGTGAAAGCCCTGGAGTGTGCCAAAGCCTATCTTTTGTGCCACCCAGATGATGAGGATGTCCTAGACAATGTGGACTACTATGAGAGTCTGTTGGATGATAACATTGACCCCGCATCCATTGAGGCGAGGGAGGTGAGACCAATGTTTTGAGAAGAAACTCTTGATTCTGCACATGTTCTGAGGGGAGGTGATAAAAATATAACACTGGTCTTAAAGATATCTAACAATTTAGCAAAATTCTAGAACTCAGTTCTTTCAAACTTATGCCAGAAGCACATTTTTTCTCACGCATGCTAGCGTGTGAAAGCATGTTGAGACGGGGACATGTTTTGCAGCTCTGAATATTTCTGTCAGCTCATTTGTGACTAATGAAAATATGTCCATCTGAACATTTATCATATCTCTTATCTGTTATTTAAATAAAAAATGTCTTTCTTTACTTCTTTTTGACTAGGATTTAACAATGTTTGTGAAACGTCATAAGCTGGAATCTGAGCTGATAAAATCAGCTGCAGAAGGTCTGGGATTTTCATACACTGAACCGGTAAGAGGAAAGAGGAAATGTTTATTAAAATAATGATTCCATGGAATTCGTTTTATGTTTTTATTACCACCCCCATGTATGCCATTTACCTCAAAAAGCTAAGATTCGAATGCCTTCCTTGGTAAAAATTGGAGATGGGGGATGTTTACTCAATATACGTGATGAACTTTAAAAGGCTGGTAGATTTCCACATCAGTCATTCCACATTAATGAGGTCCAAAGTTGAAAGCAAATCTATTGGGTAGAAGCATTTTGTGTATGACTCATTTTCCTCTGGCAGTGTTTTATTTTCCTAAATTGTGGATGTGGTATTTTTAATTTTTCTTTTAATGCTTGTATATTACCTAAACATTAAAGAGACTTCAAAAAGAACATCATCAGTCACAATCCTACCATCCATCATACTGACTTCACTCCACTTTTCCATGTTGTCTTCTAATCATTGTTTAAATGAACACATACCTTTGCAGAAACATATACTATGGTATAAAGAGATTTGTATTTAAGAAGATATCATAAGAAATTTCTATATTTGTATAGCTTTAAAAAGTATTTTTAGATACATTTTAGTATCTAAAATGTAGGTAGAATTTGGAACTTTAGATTGATATACAATAAATAAATGAACTCTTCTTCTGAACATTTTGAATTATCTCTGATTTTAAAATTATATGTAATGCTTTTGCATTTTTTTCTCTATTGAACTATGTTCTTAAAATAAATTCCTAAGAGTGGAATTATTCTGCTAATTATTTTAAATTTCTTAAAACTAAATTGCTTTTCTAAGAGAATTATCTTAGAAATCATTTATTTATTATTAATTTTAAGAGAATAAATAATTCTAAGAGAATACTATTTTAATATTAACAGCATCTCATGTGGGAAGATTTAGCGACTACTCTAAAGTCTCATAGCTCATAACAGGTTAAACAGGCATTTGAATCCTAGTAATGCATAAAAGTGCCATTTTACCACAAATTTATCAACAATAAGAAATAACATTTTAAAATTACTTTTTTTATTCATATATGTAAAATAATACATAATTTTGTTTTAACTTGCAATTCTTTGATGACCAGCAAGAATAAACCTTTCACATATTAACTATTTTTCCTCTTGTTTTAATTACTTGGGCATGGGTTTTATTCATTTATCCATTGGTTGCTATGTAAGCTCTTCAAATGATATACAAGTTAATATGTTTTTAAAATTATTTATAATATATCCAATTTGCAACCCTTTTTCCTTTCTTTCTTAATTATGTCATGTTTTTATAGGCAGATTTTTAAAAATGGGTTAATTTTAATGTACTACTTCCAATATAACACCTCCTAATATATTAATATTTATATCTGGTCTTACTTATTCTTTAAAACTTACAGTACCCAAGAGACCTTTGTATATGTTATTTACTAATTTCATGATCCTATACAGACGATTATTTAAGCTGGATTTTGTTTGTTTGTTTTATTCAGAAAACTTAAAGAAGTTGAACTGAATGATCTTTCAAATGTTTTTCTGCCACCAAATTTTAAGTCACTTTCTTGGACAAAAGGATGTATATCCAGGCTAATTCCGTACTATTTAAAAAATCTATTTGTTCTTCATTTTGTCCTTGCCAAGTCTCCACTAACTTTAGCCTTCCTTATCATTAATCTTTAAAATAAAAATATATTGTATCTTTACATAATATGCAAGTTTCCTAAATTATAGGTCTTTTGAATGTTTAGTACATATTTTATTTACTTTAATTCTGTAAGTAATATTTTAGTGACAAAATTACTGCATTTTTTTTACTCAATTCAAAACAGAATTATTGGATCAGATATGGAGGACGACAGGATGAGAATCGGTAAGTCCATTCAGAACGCAAACTGGGCTTTATATGAGGAGAAATACTTAGTGTCATAACCTAACATAGAGAAGTGCAGCTCTCTGAAATAGGCAAAAAGATATAATAAAATAATTCTAAGCTGTGAATTAGGAGCTCTGCATCCAGGTCCCAGCTCTTCTTGACACTTTGGTGTAAGCTTAGGCAATATATCTTCTGTTTTCTGGGTCTCATGTTTTTTCCTAGAAAAAAGAAAAAAGGGCATGATTCCAAATCTAAGAAGGTTGGCTACTTTTGATTTATTAACAGAAATAACTATGTAACTTTTTTTGAGGATGAATTCCCTTACCGTATTTACTTGAAATGATGAAGTTCAGCATGTTATACTGCAAGCTAAAATATTAAGTGTCACTAACTGAATCAGAAATCATGAAAGCTCATTGTTTAAAATGACGAAAGTCGATTTACATCTTTTAAAGAACTGAAACTCAGAAGATTAGAAATAACTGCTTGAGATCACATGGTCCAGCTTATTCATTTTCAAATTGGGAAACTAAGGCCCTGAGAAGGCAAGCAACTTGCTTAGAGTCCCATCACAAGGGAAGGGCAGATCCAGATCTTATTTAGAATCTTGAAATCTTTCACTACACTTCAAGGACTCAACGCTTGGGTGGCGTAACATTATTGCAAAAGATCCCAGAATGTATATACACATTTGGATTTGTCTGATTTTTACATTTATAAAGGACGGCCTGCTATCATTTGCATGTTTGGAAATGACAAACCTGTGTCTTCTTTCTCAAAACAATCATTATTTTGACTACATTTGAACTTCTACATTATGACATAATTCAATTCAACAATTGTTCAATAATGCACTCCATGTTCCAGACCCCATTGGATACTCTGAGCATTATAAAGATGCACATGATAATTATTTTCCTATTCTGTTGAGATTAGAGTCTAATCTGAAGGAGGTTAAGTTATGAATACAGTTACATCATTGTAATAAAGATTGCTAAGAAGAATTAGAGGCGTGAAATAAAGCAAACTCACTGAGGAAATAGAGAACTTCAAAGAGGCAGGGACATTTAATTTGACTTTAAAAGACAGGTGAACTTGTGTACAACAAAATATACAATATAGAATTATAGACTACCTGGGTAAAGTATTCTTTGCCTTTGAATGTCGCTATTCAATAACGAATTTCCATTTAAAATTTTTTGATTGGGCAGGGTCCCTTCAGGAGTGAACATAGAGGGAGCAGAAGCTCATGCATTGTCAATGGGAAAAAAGTTATCACCCAAGATAGATCGAGACCTAAGAGAAGGTAAGTAGCTGTACATTTTTACTCTATAAAGGAGGGGAAGGGGAATTTGGGGCTTGACCAGTTCTTATCCAGATCAAGGAAGAACCCACTTCCTTTAGAAAGTAACAAAAGGACTAAGCTATTATACTCCCTAATAGCCTGAAAGCAAGACTTAAGTACAAGAATGTGTTAGATTTGTATATTATTACCATAGGTTTAAAAAAAAATTGCCTCCAAATTTACTCCCTTGTCTGTTTCCCATAGGAATCTTGCATGGTCATCACCATTCTCAGAATACCAGAGGCTTAGCAATTTCCTATGGCTTACTTCTGTTACAGTGTTAGTGAGTGCCAGGTAGTGTGGGTTCAGAGGAACTTGGAGAGGAGGCAGGCCCCATGGTATATTAGGTTAGTTAATCTTAGATGCTTGAAGCACATAGATCTGAGCAGGGCCTTTAGAGAAAGCAGAACTTAGTAGGATGCATGAATGTAGAGGGAACCATTCTAGCGGTTAAAAGAAGTGGAGCAAAGGCACAGAGATGAAGCAAGCAGAACATTATATACCTACTTAGGTAAGATCAAAATTAGTGGAGACATGGGTGGAATGTTGCCAAAAAATAGTTTCTACATAGAGCCAAGCATTGTTATATTAATAAAATCTATTAGCAATAATAATACTAACAGCAGGAGTAATTCTTAACAATTATTATCTCTATATGTTTTATGATTTCCCAGCAAATTTGCACACAATTTATTTTTGGCACACTATTTTAATACTAACAGCATCTCATGTGGGAAGATTTAGTGACTTCTTTAAAGTCTCATAGCCCAGAACAGGTTGAACAGGCATTTGAACCCACACATTTGACCCAAATCCCATTTCTTCATCTGCTGCATGAAACACAGAATAGTATAGATACCAAAAATGTATCACCTATGGATTGAATAATTGCACGATAAGAAGAGGCTTTCAAAATGCTGCATTGGGAAGAAGTACAGTACTTTTCCCCAGGAGACCTCGTCAGCACATTCTTCTGATTTGAGAAATTCTGGCTCCCTACAGCTCTCACATTTCCCATCCCTTTCCTTCCTTAGCTTCCAAGTCAGCTTGAAGCAGTAAACAGGATAATATGCTCATCTAATCTGACCTGGACCTCAGTTTGTAGCCACAAAGGCCAAGCTGTGTTACAAATGCCAGAGAGCTTCATGGTCAGCCAGAGTTCATGTTGCTTTTTAAGCTGAGAAATCACCCAGGAAGTTCATGCCAATAAGCCAGCACATTGCTGTAAATGCTTGGGAAACTCCAGGACAGTTGCCAAATTTCAAAGCATTTTTCTTTTCCTAGCTACCAGGGAATCTGGTGTTCAGCAACTGATTAGAAGGTTAATAGAAGAGCAGAACAGAAAACTGCATGTGATGGAGAATGATCATGATTGATTGGGCTACCCAAATCGACCATTTCTGCAGAATTGTCTAGGTTGAAGTGGCTAGTGGATTTTAGGATGGAATGTTTTCTGGGAACCAACTGGCTTGAAGGAAAAAAAAAAACATTTTTACATACTGTACTTTCATATTCAATCAGAATACTTCTGTGGCCAGATGTGTGTGAGCTTTTTCTTACACACACCAGTAATTCCCCAGTGGATAGCAACTGAGTGTCAAATAATCCAATTCAGTTCTGACACTGTCTCTCTGGAAATAGTGTCAGATCCCACAGGTTAAGGGTTCAGCCCACAAGACTGCCCCCATTTCAGATGCCAACTGCAAGTATAAGTTGTTACTTCTGGCCAACCCCTCATGGACCAGCTACAAACCAGTGTTCCCATGATCCTGACTTTGGGTTAGGCTAACTTGCTAGAGCATCTCACAGAACTCAGGGAAATAGTCGTGTTTACTGGTTTATTATAAAGGATACAGATGAACAGCTAGATGAAGAGGTACATAGGGCGAGGTATGGGGGGATGGGAGGAGGATCTTCCATAACGTCCATGGGCAAACCACCCTACCACCCTCCCAGCATCTCCACGTGCTCGGCCACCTAGAAGTCCATCAAATCATGTTGTTCAAGAGTTTTTATAGAGCTTAATCTGCATGCCCCCGACTCCTTTCCCAGAGGTCTGTGGGTGGAGCTAAAAGTTTAATTTCCCTAATCACTTGGTCTTTCTGGTGACCAGCCCCATTCTGAGTCTTTGTAGGGGCCCTACCCTAAGTCACCTCATAGGCATAAACTTAACAGTGATTAAAAAGGTCTCATTATACATAAGAGGACGCTCTTACCTCTTGGGAAATTCCAAGGGGTTTAGGAGCTCTATGCCAGAAACAAGGGATGAATGCCAATATATTTCTTATTAATATATTTCTTATTAATATATTTCTTATTATATAACAACGAAAAAGCCTATTGTCCAGTCATCGGATACCTAATTAGGATATATATTAAGAACAGTGAGAGACAGAGACAAAGTTCTCAACCAGAAAACACTTTCCTATCTTAATCTGACTAAAGGGTGATGTCAGGGCATGCGTTGCAGAATAAAGTATACTTCAGCTGTTCTCATCTTCCCCAAAAAGATTGTCATCTACCCTGAATGCCTAACAGTATTTAGTATTTAGTATTATCCCTACTGGACAGCTCCTAATCATTAAGATGGGGTGACCCAGAGCTACTTACATCTCACAGTGGCTTCAGTCCATGAAACATGCATAATATGGCAACTTACTTAAAAACATTTTTGTCACTTGTTCATTCTCCTTTCACCCACCAGAATTTTTTTTTTTTAAGACAGAATCTTACTCTGTCACACAGGCTGGAGTGCAATGGCGCAATCTCAGCTCACTGCAACCTCCCCCTCCTGAGTTCAAGTGACTTTCCTGTCTCAGCCTCCCAAGTAGCTGGGATTACAGGTGCATACCACCACACCTGGCTAATTTTTTTTTTTTTTTTTTTTAGTAGAGATGGGGTTTCACTATGTTGGTCAGGCTGGTCTCGAACTACTGACCTCAGGTGATCCACCCGCCTTGGGCTCCCAAAGTGCTGGGGGTGCAGGTGTGAGCCACTGTGCCCAGCCAACCCACCAGATTTTTAAATGTGATGCTGGATATGATTCCAGAGTCAGTAAAGGGTTAGTAGAAACAATGTTGAATAAAATTGGAATCAGGAGGCTTAGTTTCTGGAATTATCTTAGTCTGATGTTTTCCAGTGATGAAGATCTAGTGACTCAATTTCTCTGGGCCCTATGTTTTTTTATCTGTAAAAGGATAGTAGCTGTTTTAATATAGTGAACATAAAAAGCATTTTTTTTTTTTTTGGAGACAGAGTCTCACTCTGTTGCCCAGGCTGGAATGCATGGTGCTGTTTCTGCTTACTGCAACCTCTTACTGCTGGGTTCAAGCAGTTCTCCTGCCTCAGCCTCAGGAGTAGCTGGGACTACAGGCACATACCACTGAACTCGGCCAATTTTTTTGAATTTTAGTAGAGATGGGATTTTACCATGTTGTCCAGGCTGGTCTTGAACTCCTGAGCTCAGGCAATCTGCCCACCTCAGCCTCCCAAAGTGCTAGGATTACAGGCATGAGCCAACACACCGGGTCTTTTTTTAAAATTTTTTTGTAAAAGGCTGTACTCATATAAGAGCTTGTTAGCCTGCCCACCCCATCATGCTTTGTGTGACACTATGGGATTTCTGATAAAGTGATTCTTCTTGCCATGAGGCAGACAGTGAGTACAAAGGAGTACTTTCTTAGGTGATCCTTTCTTGTTGCAACCAGAGAATCAGAGCCAGGCACATAGTTTATGAATGAGAGAAGAATTAAGTTGTTTGACTAAATCTTCTTGGGCTGTGGTTAAGAATTGGCTGAAGCCATCAAATCAGGCCCCAGAAACCACAATTTATTGGACTAGATTTTTATTTTTATTTTAATGTTTTCCCGTGTCTGGTGTGCTACTAGTCATGTGTAGACTGGTTGACTTGCCTGTTGAATGGTGGAGTTTCTTTTATCTTCTTTTTCCTTTTGGTTAGTGGATGGGTATAATTGGTTGTTTTTGTTAAATGTATGCGTAGGAAATAGCTGTAAAATTTTATACTTAGTAATATTAATAATTATGTTAGCTACATGAAAGGTCAATTTCTAATGAATATTCTCCCGGAAGTCAAGATTCAGATATTTAGGACTGTAGGCCGGACGCAGTGGCTCATACCTATAATCCCAGTATTTGGGGAGGCCAAGGTGGGTGGACCATGAGGTCAGGAGATTGAGACCATCCTGGCCAACATGGTGAAACCCCATCTCTACTAAAATATAAAAAATTAGCCAGGCATGGTGGCACGAACCTGTAATCCCAGCTATTCGGAAGGCTGACGCAGGGGAATCACTTGAACTGGGAGGCAGAGATCACACTGAGCCAAGATCTTACCACTGAACTCCAGGCTGGGCAACAAAGTGAGATTCTGTCTCAGAAAAAAAAAAAAAAAAAAAAGCAAAACAAAATAAACAAACAAAAAAAAGACTCCATGTCTCACAAGCCCTTCACTTGATCTTTGCATGTTACTTGTGGGATGCTAGGAGAATGATCAATATCCCAGTAGCCTTCTCTTAATGCTATATGTTTATTAGTTGTCTTAGAACTTAACACAGTATTCCAGGTGTAGCTTATTAATTCAATAATAATGATAGTAATAATACATACATACTTATAACAGACCTTAAGAATGGTAGGCATTTTCCTAAATATTTTAGTTTTGCTAACTTTCAAAATCATATTTTGAAAACAAGCTAATTATTTTTAAAATAATATACCCTCAATATAGAAAAAGAGTAAAACTTGGCAAAGTATAAACCAACTTAATTCACTAAATCCCTCATCTGTCTTTTATTTCTGCTTGAGTTTTATATTAGCAAATGCTTTTTAGTGAATCTACAAGTATCTTGTCTTTCTTGTTGAAGGAACATTTCTTTTTATACTTCTAAATTGAAATGGAATATGCAGTTTACATTTCCAAATATTTGAGGGCAGGCCTGTCTCAATTTGACTATGAATCTTAATCAGCTACACAGATTAGAGCAGCCTTTTCCAAATTGTGTTCTATGCTAAGATTTTGGGGGGGATTTTTAAAAGACTACTTAGTTTGGTATGGGGGCTCATGCCCCTAATTCCAGCACTTTGGGAGGCTAAGGAGGGAGGATGACTTGAGCCCAGTAGTTGGAGACCAGCCTGGGCAACATAACAAGACCCTGAAAAAAAAAAAAAAGAAGCTAAGCATGGTGGCATATGCCTGTAGTCCCAGCTACTTGGGAGGCTGAGGTGGGAGGATTGCTTGAGCACAGGAGGTCAAGGCTGCAGTGAGCCATGATGATGGTGCCATTGCACTCCAGCCTGAGTGACGGTGAGACCTTGCCAAATAAACTTTTTAAGGGCTTTTTTATTGCTGCAAAAAACAAAAAAATAGTAGCTTATGAAAATATCCATTTATTATCTCACAGTTTCTGTGGGGAAAGAGTCTGGCAAGAACGTAACTGTGTCCTTGGCTTCAGGATCCCTCACAGGTTCCAGTCAAGTTGTTGACCCAGGGCTGAGGTCTCTTCTGTGGCTTGACTGGGAAGGATCTTCCTCGAAGTTAGATAGCAGAATTCAGTTCCTAAAAAGTTGTTGGAATATGGTCTTTCAGTTCCTGGTTCATTGTTGGCTGGAGGACACCCTCTGTTCCTTGCCATGTGATGCTCTTCAGTATAGTCAGTTGCATCATCACAGCATGCCAGCAGAGAAGACAATAGACTGAGTCTATTAGCAAGACAGAAGTTGCAATTTTATGTAACGTAGTCACAGAAATGCCATCTTATCAGGATATTCTACTGCTTAGAAGTAAATTCCAGATTCTACTCACACTTGTGGGAAGCAGATTACACAGGGGTATGAATGTCGTGAGGCAGTGATCATTGCAGCCCTTCATAAAGTCTCTGTGCAGAAGGAAGTTGGGGGGTGGGGTGGGGAGAGAGAGAACTGTATTCAATTAAGGCTAAAAACTGCTGCATATTATATTACTACTTAGGACATTAATAAGGCCTGTTTATATATTAAAAGTTATGAGATGTCCTCTTATATTTTATGTAACCTAGTACTTCCCCAGAGCTTTCAATGCAACAAAATTTGAGAAATAGTAAATTGTAGAAAAAAGTATTTCTCTAATCAACTAAAAGATATGATACCAAAACAGGGAGATTATGGATATATTCTTGGGATCCAAAAATTCCATATTCATAAATTTTGATCACAATTTTTAAAAATTAAGAGAAGCAATTAGGGGTTATCTAAGGGACCAACTTCTAGCCAAGTGCTGCTATGGGATTCCATGGTTCAATGGACACAGTTATGGTCATATTGACACCAATTCATAATACTTCAATGGTTAGATACTAGAAATAAATGAAATACAATGAACTTATAAATAATGTATTAGGACCAGATGAAAGCTAATGTGGTTTGGCTGTGTCCCCAGCCAAATCTCACCTTGAATTGTAATAATCCCATGTGTCAAGGGCAGGGCCAGGTGGAGATAATTAAATCATGGAGGCAGTTTGTTCTCCTGGTAGTGAATAAGTCTCACAAGATCTGATGGTTTTATAAATGGGAGTTTCCCTGCACAACTCTCTTGCCTGCCACCATGTAAGACATGCGTTTCTCCTTCTTTGCCTCCTGCCGTGATTGTGAGGCCTCCCCAGATGTGGAACTGTGAGTCCATTAAACCCCTTTTTCTTTATAATTACCCAGTATTGGGTATGTCTTTATTAGCAGCATGAAAATGGACTGATGCAAAGGCCAAAATTAATCATGGTGCACTAAGATTGTGTAGTAGTTTAAATAGAGAAAAGTTGTGGTAGAATGGTAATTATACACCAATAGTACTGTAAGGAACCCTGACTCAAAAGAAAGCAGACTAGATCAGTAAGTAGAATATTCATATGGAAAGTAGCTTTTTGTTTTCAGAAAAATAACATTAACCATTTCATTTGTTAATCAGAATTTAGTTCATTTTATGCTTTTATTTAGTCTTATAAATTAGTTTTGGTACTGTATGAAACTATTGAAATAAATAATGAATAAATAGTTTTATGATTGCATATACAGAAGTAAAATTAGAGTAAAAATAATTTGCCAGCACTGGAGCTCCTTAGGAAACTTTTGCTTTAACAGATAGCCAAACATTACTCTAGATTGAGAAACACTGCCACATTCTTTTAATATTCCATTAATCATGAGCTGTGGTGAGTCTTTTGTTCTAGCCAGACTAATAAACATTTAGAGAGTGTTCTTCCTTAGGCTGACTAATCTGTTTTATAGAGATAAAGTAGACATCAATTTCAATTGTCTCTTCTTTCTTCAACAGGGATGTTTTAGGCCAATGTGTTGGTGACCTTTGCTAGTCCCGGGGTGGCAGGGGGTAGTGTCTTCCCCACCCCTGCTGTTCTTATGTTGAGCTGTTGCTATGGACAAGCACACATCAGGCCCCTTAGGAGTATTATAAAGGGTAGGAAGCAATGTTTTCTTTTCTGTTCGATTTTCTGGTTCAAGATGTTTGCACTATGCTGCATCAGAAGATTTCCTCTCTATCAGAGCCTTTGTCCTTCAGTCCTACTCTTTGAGAAAAGGATTCTGTCAGGTCTTGATTTTGTAATTTCACAACGTAAAATGTGTCCCAGAAGTGTCACCCTCTGAAGAGCCTATATGGGGCGAATTTTATAAAGTTGTGGTCTCTCTTTGGGAAGAGAGTAAGTGCCTAAAGGAAACCCTCCTACGTGGAAATAGAAATGTGGAGATTTTGCCTATAGAGAACAGAGAAAAATACTCCAAAAGCAAGACATCCTAGGGTCAGTTACATGGTAGGAAGAAGACTGAGGAGGAGTCAAGTGACTTGGGTGTGACTACCTGAATTACCTGGTGAAGGTATTTCTCTTGACACCAGTGAAACTGAGGTGTGCATGTCATGTCTGAGGGCCCAGACATGCAATCTGTGGTGTTGTGACAGAGGTGTGAATGAGGGGCTATGAAGAAGGGTGGGTTTTCTCAGAAGAGAGTCCTATGAGATGCCCAGTCGACTTTTCGGGATCAGCATTAGAAACAAATGCATAAATAGTTCTGTCTCTCCCAAAATAATGTGCAAATGTCATATTATTATGACATTATGAGGAAACCTGATAGTCAGACATCTCTCTTTCTTCTGATCTATACTGTGTTTATCAAGCTATCTAATTTGGAAGGTGTCTTTGCATTTCTAAATATTCATGAGGAAACTGACTCACTCAAACTGCACATTGAAAGCTGTTTGGTGTTCTGTGCTTCCTTTTTGGGGACAGAGGTAACAGGGAAGACAATGTGCTCTGTCCCTTCAGGTGGTCCTCTGCTGTATGAGAACATCACATTTGTCTACAACTCGGAGCAGCTGAATGGGACTCAGCGGGTTCTCCTGGATAACGTCCTGTCTGAAGAACAGTGCCGGGAGCTCTACAGCGTGGCTACTGTGAGGATGGGGAGAAGGAGGGGAGCTCACTGCACTGGCCTACCAAGAAGCTGGAACTGCTTTAGTCCTGGTCTCATCTGGATCCAGGAAACAAGACCTGAGATAGCGCTTTCTTTAGGAGAAAGACATAAGTTATTTCTGAGGAACTTTCACAGCCTTTGGGTTGGGATTATTTTAGTTTTCCCAGGTAGGATCTGGAATAGCTACTGGCATATTTCCTAGACCAACAGCTATCTAGCAAGATCCCTGCCTATCATATAAACTTGCTGGAGAAGTCCTTTTATTTTAATTAATAATTAACCAATATATCAATAATTTACATTCTTTTCATTTCCATAAAAAGTGATAGTATTTCATAGTAAAAATATAGAATGAAGATTAAATAAAGATATCTCTTTTAATTAAAAGAAATAATATACCAGCATCCTGGAATAAAATTGGGATGATTCTTAGGGTTGACTACAGTTCTCAGCCTTCTGGCAGCCAAAGCAGAAAAAGAGACCCAATGAAATCAACTCAACTCTGTATTTTTCCTATACACACATGGCTATCATTGATGAAGTATCTTCTTGTATTTGCTTCCAGGGAATCATGATTGTTGGTGATGGATACAGAGGAAAAACTTCACCCCACACGCCCAATGAAAAGTTTGAAGGCGCAACTGTCCTGAAGGCACTCAAAGTAAAGTCTTAACTTCTTTTGAGTTCCTTAGTGCCAACCTAAGACTTCTGTAAGTGGCAGATATAGGAAAGAAGAAAGTTTGGAATATGTACCTATGAGGACAGTTGAAGGAAACAAGTGTCAAATTGAACTTTCCTTGTAATTCATCATTCCTCCATTTAGCCATCAACTTATCAAACGTTACATATCCTGACTAAAAAGATGTAGCCCCTCTTTTTACAGAGATCATGATCTAACAGTGAAAACATATTCAAGCAAGTAATTATTCTCTACTGCAGAAAGGGTTGTTAGAGAGGATGGTAGAACATATTATGATAGAAGAGAAGAAGAACCAGGCAGCTCTTAGTTTTCCATCTGTTATTGGGAAGAGTTGACTCCAGTGGCACAATGTCCTAAATGAAATCCACAGACATGGAGTAGCCTTCCCACTAGTCAATACAGACATGATAATCCTATATTAGCTCAATGCAATCTAGTGCCTGTTTTTCTTACATCCTCCAATGAAGCCATTTGTTTCTAATGTGCTTTTTTTTCAGTCTGGTTATGAAGGTCGAGTCCCACTGAAGAGCGCCCGTCTGTTTTATGACATCAGTGAAAAGGCTCGAAAGATTGTAGAATCTTATTTCATGCTGAACTCAACTCTGTATTTTTCCTATACACACATGGTCTGCCGAACAGCCCTGTCTGGTGAGATTCCAATCTGAAACAGTTCCCTTTTACCAGCAATGCAGTGGGAAATAGAACAGTGCAAAACAAAGCTCTGTAGCATGATAGTTCCTATTTTAGATGAACTCTAGATTTCTAAAACAAAAGGCGCTTAGGAACTCCTATTCTCTTTCTCTCTTTTTCTTCATTTTGGTTTTCTTAAGTTCCAGACCTCATTCTGAACATTTTCCCTTTCGAATCAATTTTCCCTAATTGCTGAAGTCTCGCCAAAAAAAAAAAAAAAAAAAAAAAAAAAGCTTTTCTGCTGTAGGCTTTCCCTTTTGAGGAACGAGGACTATGGAAATGATAGTCACCGTGATGTCTATCAGCATTAAGTGGAAGCATAGAAGGTGAAGAGATGATTGAAATAAATGCTCTTAAAAAGACAGAGACCGCCTCGGTCCCTGCTCATCCTGATTTCTTCTCTATGTCTTCTCTTATGGCCCCTGAATAGGGGAGGCCGTAGAATAGAATGATGAATAGAATGATGTCATAGGAGTAGACTTTTACACTTGGGAAGCTTTAGCTAAATTAAATCTTTTTCTTTAATTTACATTTTCATTTCATCTTCATTGTTTTGCTGCCCCACGTGAAGTACAACCATGAAATGCATGGAATTTTTTCACGTATGTTTATATCAGAAAGAACTTTTACAGCTGAAGAGACGAGTGTGACTTGCTTAAGATTTCACACCCAGTTCATGCCAAAACCAGACCAGAGACTCAACTACTTGTCCACGGTTCTTTCATCTGTTCTTTCCCATTGTTCACCTCCCTGCATCTGCAAAGAACACCAGGAGTGGCAGAAGACACTCAGATTGTCAGTCACTTTGATGGAAGTTGCCACACTTCATTCCTCCTTCTTCCCTATTCCCTTTTCTGGCAGGTCAGCAGGATAGAAGAAATGACCTCAGTCATCCCATCCATGCTGACAACTGTCTGTTGGATCCAGAGGCCAATGAATGCTGGAAGGAGCCTCCTGCTTACACATTTCGAGACTACAGGTACAGCTAGAGCCCGCTTCAAAACAAAGCTTTTACCTAACAGTTTTCAAAGAATGAAAGCTGGAACGGTGCTCTCTTTTGCTTGATATCATTTTTATCTCTCTGAGGCAGAAATTCTCAAGTAACCTTCTGATGTGGCTGCCATAATCAAGAAGTGACATTATCATCTCACTTTTATTGTAAAGATTATGCACACTTTGCATCCCATTCAATAAAATGTCCATTTTGTTTTAATATAAAAAGTAAATTTTATGTTTTTCAAAAAAAAAATTCCTATTTCCCCTGGAACATATTCCTTGTGGTATGTGTATTTCAGTCAGAATACAAGGGCATGGAGTCTTGGCACCCATAAGGACTTTATCACATCACTTATCTGTTATTCACGCCCATGGAGAATGATGTCTGCATTTTATAAATTAGACACTCAAAACTCAGGAGAGAAGAATGTCCTAACCTATTGAAAGATATTTCAGTGTGTAAAGAATCAGGAGTTATAGTCAGCATGTGTTCATTGTTACTACACTGTGATCATGATTCCAAAATATTAATTAAGCACCCTCTATCTGAAAGGCATGGCTAGGCCACAGGGAGCTCTCCAGGCTGTTAAGGAGGAAAAACAAACACACACACATCCTTTAGAGCTACTGTTATATAAGGGAAGAAGAGAGTTGTAAATAAGGTGGGCAGGTTCAGAGGGTTAGACTAAATTAAAACTAGTTAGGTTTTCTGGGGAGGAAGTGAAATGTGACACAAGCTGTGATTACAATTTTAATGGAGATGGAATAAGTGAACTTTTCAGAGGTATAACCCAAACTCTATATGATCTTCTGTTTAAGCATTTGGAGGGCCAATTATTTCAATGACTAGTTCAAAGGAAATTTATGAATGGAGGCTGGACAGTACATCACCAGTCTTCAGTATTCTGTGACCGTGCTATTGTAAGCACATAGTAGTACAGATGCTTTTTTCTTCCTTCTTATAGTGCTCTCCTGTATATGAATGATGACTTTGAAGGAGGAGAATTCATATTCACTGAGATGGATGCTAAGACTGTGACTGTAAGTAAACCTATTCTTACATTCTTATTTAGTATTTTTTAGCTCAGTATTGCCATTTTTCTAAGTGGACTTCAAGACTGTTGGATTGCAAATACTTCTGAGCTCAAGATTTTGGGAGGTTAAGAGAGTCCCAGTAAATGTATAGATCATAAACTGTTAGAAGCATCCATAAAAATCTTCTAGTGTGTTGTAGAGATGGATAAATTAAATAATTTAGATATTAAGCATTTATCATGATCATTTAGCTAGTTAGTGTTAGACTTGGAACCAAAGCCTAGGTCTTGTAATTCTTTGTCAAGTAGTTTGATGGAAATATAAGAACATCAGTTTCAAGTCACGCAAGTCACTGTAGAATAAGTCAAATGATTCTACAAGGTGTCTTTCAAGTAACCTGGCTGAAAGTGTCCTACACACTTGGACTGAACATTGGCCTTCAAATATCTAGTTTCCAAAATTATTATATATGTGTGTATGTACACATGTGTGTGTATATTCCTATAGATATACACATATATATGTACATAGAAATATATACGATTGTGATTGTATGTAATAAACCAATACCTGAAGATTGATAAACACACACACACACACACACACACACACACAAATATATGTAAATAAAGAGTAAATCAAAAGCTCAATTCAACCATCATCTTCCTAAGCAAACCTGTGCCTTTGGAAAACAAGCCTATTTAGTACTTAAAGACTATATAGTTAGCATCCTTTGGTCTTTAAGCCAAAGAGCATACACAATGGTAGAGAACCATGTTTTACAATTGGGAAAGTAATTAGATTATAGTTCATCAGGTGTCTCTTTCCACCATACAAAATGTAAATAGTTGGGACGTGTATGTGGTAAACTTCAAAGTTTTGGCATTATAGAAGCTATCTCTAAAACTTTTCTTGAATTCTATGCTTTTACCCTCATAGCTTACATGCTTTTCTTGTTAGTGAAACACCACATATGTCCTTCATGACACAGTACTGTGGAATAAGCAGATTACATCAAAAAGTATGTATGACTGGGCTTAAAGGTGATTCTGATGAGGATTCTGGTTAAAATTGTCTAGAAAAATTGTTATAACTAAAAAAAAATTTCATGCAACTTTATACAATAATGTATGTTAAAAAGGTCATGATGCCTCACTTTTTTGTAATAAGCTTAAGTACTAATATGGGAGTACTTTTGTGCTCCATAATCTGATATATTAAATCAAGATTGACAACCTGGAATTTATAACCCAGAAGTTTTTTTTTTTTTTTCCATCTCTGGGAAAGCTTGTGTGTAGGAAGCATTTGATTTCTGATCTCTGCTAACTCTGAAACAGGTACAAAAATACTGGCACTTTGCAGTTTGACAGTCAGGTGGTTGAAAAGATTTCTTTGCTTCTCCTCCATCTAGTGGCCATATTTGGAAATGCTCGAGGCTTAAAGCAGGGTATGCCTATTTCATTAGCTGTTGACTGTTAACTGGAATTCTGCTTTTTAAAGACGTGAAAGTAGGTAATATTTTCCTTTGAGGGTGCTACAATTTTAATTAAAATCTATAACTATTTTTAAGAACACTGAATCTAACCTCCCCTGAAAAAAGTAAAACCAATTTAAACAATTGTTTGTATGTTATATTATTATTATACCTTAAATTCTGGGGTACATGTGCAGATTGTGCAGGTTTGTTACACCTATGTGTACATAGGTGTACACATGCCATGGTGGTGGTTTGCTGCATCCATCGCCCCGTCATCAACATTAGATATTTCTCCTAATGCTGTCTCTCCCCAATCCGCCCCCCACCCTCGCTATTCCTCCCCTAGCCCCCAGTGTGTGATGTTCCCTTCCCTGTGTCCGTGTGTTCTCATGGCTCAAGACCCACTTATGAATGATAAACAATTTTTTAATCCAAAAGCTCCTATTTGAGAACATTTATTTTTCTCAAATTACACTTCATTTTAATGCATACAATGACATTTTAGAGAATAGTGTAGATAACTAAAATTTTAGATAAACCAGTTTTTATCCCTTTCCCACAGGAGATTTATTCTAGTACCAGTAGCAACAACCAAAAAAATTGATATACTTTTGTTTACGTTTCTCTTTGACTGTGGAGGAATGAATGGAGCAGAGAGACGGCACAGCTTGAGGCCACACAGGAAGTAAAGTCTTCTGAGTCCTTTACTTTGGAAAAATCTGGAAGTTGGATAATTATCTGAAAGGTGGCTGAAATTTTACTTTTATGAATGACAATCACAGCACAAATGCTTTTCTAACTCGATCATCAGTTAGACGGAAAGCAAAAGGAATATTTTAAATTATGCTGAGTATACTTGGAAGATACATGGGTTCTTTTCAATAGAGCATTTATTTGTGAGACTTGGGAATTTAGGGATGTTGGTTTCTCTGTGCAAGTTCAAAAAGGATAAAATTTAATGAGTTCCATTTGTTTCATGAAAAATTAAATTCGATATAAACAGGGCTGTGTTACAAAAGTATGTTTATAATCATTTATCTAAACTTCATAACATATTTTTCCTGTAGAAACAATGTCGCACATGGAAACAGGTTCACTAAAGCTTGTTTATTCCTCCAAATACCTGACATGTATCAGATGATGTACCCTATGTGATGAGATTAGAGACCCTTGTGAACCCACACCTATAATCAGTTCCAACTGCCTCATGCGGTTCACAGCTTCTTTTCCTAAGCATTCCCAAAGCTATTCATGTTTAACGGTACTTTCAATTCCACAAGAAAGAAAATACTAAATTGCCGCCACACTCTTTTTTTAGTCTTATAAAATGTTATCAAGACCTGGTAATCACGTAGAAGCACTGGTAAACGTGTGTCTGAGTGAGTCCTGACCAGCACCAGGGAAGGGGCAGCCCAGAAAACCTGAAACTCCAACATGCCAACGCAATTTAATCAGAAGCCTTCTCTATCCTACTTCATAAGTTTTACATTTCATTTACGTTGCTGTTTCTATGTGGAGATGTACAAATTCCTTCTCCAGAAAAACAGAATCTGATTGACACTGAGGTTACCACTGACTAGTGAGCCCCCTAGATTTACATCAGAAAATCTGCCTTGGTAAAGTTGTTTAGGAAAAGCAGTTCCAGCAAAGACAAATCACTCTTCAGTTATTGTGAATAGGAGAGGAACAAGACACTGACTACTGTTTTCTGCTCTTCTTAACACTTGCACACAAATCACATATACACACACATGCAGACTCCCATAGACACAAACACACACACGCACACACATAAACACATATGCACCCACCTGGCTCTCTGGCTTTCGGACTCCTCCACCTACCTCTGACTTTCCATATGTAGTCACACAGTCCGTGAGTACCGATGTTATGTAGCAGTCAAGGACTTTAGGAAATTTTAAAATATTCTTCCTATAGCTAGCATTAAAAACCAGCAAGCTCATTTTATGCGGAAGGATACCAACAATTTACGGGCATATGTCAACTCAAGTCAATTCAGAAAATGGCTAGTTAGAACCAGCCCATGTGCTTATCTAGTAAAATGGCTAGTGCCACTTTTTTGGTTTTACTTTACTTTTCTGAGCTATACTGAGGAACGAATAAATTTCTGTATTTCCCAAGGAAGAACAATGGACTCTACTCACGCGAGACACTTCTTTAAACACAGAAGCAAAGCCTCTACTATTCAGCTGCTTAAGCTCACTCAACTTGAAGGGCCACCTTGTTTGATCTTCTGCCCTTTTTCTCTCACTGCTCTCTTCTCCCTAAACACTGTGGACAGCTCCACCTGAGCAGTGCACAAGCTTGGAAGGACTGTGTCAATCTTGAAAACATTAAAGGCCATGGTGAATAGGCCACTCCAGTGAGGGTTGGGCTCTCACCACTAGAGACGTTCAAACAATGCCTAAATAACCACTGGGAAAGAAGAGTGTAAAGGAAATGAAACATCATGCAGAATTATGACTTTAGAGTTTTAAAAATGTTTGCATTGTGAAAAGTACATACACTCTGAATGTACAATTTAAAAATTAGAAGGAACATACACTCATGTAACCCCTACCTAGATCAATAACAGAACTTTTCCAGCACTGCAAATGTTCTGTTCTTTTTTTTTTTTTTTAATTCCACAAGTATGGAATGGACATCTACCTCGTATCCAGGTGCTTTGATAGTGCTAAGGAAATGAATGATGAGAGAACAACTTTGCCTTCTTTGAATCTGCAGGCTATTGTCATAGCATGTATTGAACGATTGCTGTGTATGTGGACTTTACCACCCATTTTACTTGAAAAAAAACTTTTTTATTTTCTGAGGTATAAATTATTTTGACCTTAACTGTGTTTTACAGCTGAGAAAATTGAGACAGTTTACATCATCTTCAATCCCAGGATTCCTTTTCTTCTTCGGTTCAGTCCTTTAACTGAAATAATCTCATAGGCCAGAGGAACAGGAGTTGTGGAAATATTTATGATACAGCAATTGAAAGTCTAATTTTTGCCTTCTTTCTCAGGCCTCTGTAAAACCAAAATGTGGGCGCATGATCAGCTTCTCATCTGGAGGAGAGAACCCGCATGGGGTGAAGGCAGTCACAAAGGGCCAGAGGTGTGCAGTGGCTCTGTGGTTCACCCTGGACCCACTTTATAGAGAATTGGTGAGTTTCTCACCCATCAAGAAAGCCAATTAGGCTTGCTTCATGAACTGCTCTATCTGAGAAGTCCTTTAAACTGCTTCATCTGAGCAAAAGAAGAGGGGCTATAAAGGCAGTTCTTAATCAGATGTGTTCTAATAAGTGAAGCTCTTTGTAGAAATAGCTACGTCAGTGATAACTGATAGTCACTAACATGTCTTGAGCTTATTAACAAGTTGTAAGGCCAAGCATAGTGGCTCATGCCTGTAATCCCAGAACTTTGGGAGGCCGAAGTGGGTGGATCACTTGAGGTCAGGAGATCGAGACCAGCCTAACATGGTAAAACCCCATCTCTACTAAAAATACAAAATTAGCTGGGTGTGGTGGCATGCACCTGTAATCCCAGTTACTTGGGAAGCTGAGGCAGGACAGTCGCTCAAACCTGGGATTTGTAATTTGCAGTGAGCCGAGATCGCACCACAGCACTTCAGCCTGGGCAACAGAGCAAGACTCTGTCTCAAAAACAAACAAACAAAAAAAACCCAGTGGCATCAAGAAGGAATCGCTTTTTATTGGTCACCCAGAAGACTGATTTGTTTCCTTACAAATCATAACAAACAGTTTTGAATCACTTACGAAACATATTTAGAAGAGGGTAAGGAAAGTTAAAAGAGATTATTACTATTACTACATTAAATATTTAAATATTATTATTATTTGCAAAGTAGCTGAGGACACTTAGCTAGGAGGAGAGCATGATCTCATCGTTTTGGAAGCTCATGGGCAGATGTCATAGTCTCTACTTGCAAAGCTGCAGAGGCATGAATTACGACCAATGGCTAGAGGCCCTGGAGGGAAAAGTTGGGCTCAACACAGGAATAACTTTCAAATAGTCACCGGAGTTTGGCCGCGTTGTCTGCTTCGGAAGCGCTGATTGGATGGCTCCAGTCAAAGCCCAGGCAACTGCTTGGCATGGAATGCTGAAACAGCGTCTGAAACATTGCAGCAGAGGCTGAACTGGCTGACTTCCAAGTCTTCTCCCGCCCCAAGTATTGATGAAGCTATGAAATTCTATCCTTACAAATGGCATTCTACCCAGTTTTCTTTCTTACGTTCCTAAATTGAATGCAATTTCATTAGAAACTATTTAAAAATAATGCCCTTTTCTCATCTACTTTTCACCATCAAACCCAGCTCACAAAGTGTTTGCCCACATTCCCTAAGCCATTCTTTCATATATTTTACAAAATACCTATTATGACCTTTTATTGTACAGAAGACCTGTTATTATGTGCCTGGGAAACTCTGCCGGGTAGGCCCTAGGGGTAGAAGGGTAAACAGAACAAGGTCTCGGACTAGAAGGCTCTTGGACAGATCAACTAGTAAATAGGCCGTGAGAAGACAGCAGTATACGTTTTGTAGCGGGGAATCAAGGAAGATTTCTATAAGCTCAGACCTATAAAAGAAGAGGATAACCAGTCATGGAAAGAATGGCCCTGGCTGGGAGAGGTGGCTTCCGCCTATAATCACAGCAGTTTGGGAGGCTAGGCAGGTGGATCACCTGAGGTCAGGAGTTTGAGACCAGCCTGGCCAACATGGTGAAACCCCGTCTCTACTAAAAATACAAAAATTAGCCAGGCATGGCAGCAGGAGCCTGTAATCCCAGCTACTCGGGAGACTGAGGCAGGAGAATCACTTGAACCCAGGAGGTGGAGGTTGCAGTGAGCCGAGATCGTACCAGTGCACTCCAACCTCAGCGACAAGAGCAAGACTCTGTCTCAAAAAAAACAAGAAAAAGAAAAGAAAGAAAAGAAAAGAAAGAAAGGAAGGAAAGAAAGGAGAGAAAGGAGAGAGAGAAAGAAAGAAAGAAAAAAGAAAAGAGAAGAGAAAAGAAAAAGGCCCTGACGAAAGGACCAGAGCATAGAGTCCTGAAAACTTCAGAGGGGAATGAACAGTTGCCTTCCCGAATCATTATTTTATATCTTTGTATTTTCCGTCTCCAAAATGCCAGCATTCCATCAAAGCATCTTTTTTTTTTTTTTAAAC